TAATGTAGCAGACTAGCAGTCACCACTAAAGATGTGCAATGTTGAGTTATTTTTGCTGCTTTTTCTTAAAACTAGGGGTATTTTAATTTTAGCTTGCTGTTTGTTAGCTGTTACAGTTTAGTTACTTGGGCTGTTCCATTTACTTGTCGCTTTGCATTTTCAAATTTTTTTTCATCCTCATTCAGACACAGGGGATGAGGGCAGATGTAGTTCCGTACAGACGTGTACTTTCTGCTTTGGGAAGGATCACGTGTGAAGGTGGCATATGAGGGTTGTATAGGTTAGTGGCTCTATTTAAGGATGTCAACGGGGCCCGCGAGGCCGGGGACCTTTCCCCATTCTCGTCCCCGTGATTGGATCCCCGCGGGGATTTTTGACCGGGAGTGCAGATTTTGCCCTCCGTCCCTGTTTCCCACGAGGAATTGGGATCTTCACGGGGATCCCCATTCCCCACCAATTAACATCAAACTGCTCCCACAACAGTAGCAAAGCAGATGGCTTAGGCTGTTTGGCGACGGCGGCAGCAGCAGCAGGAGGCCCCAGTGGCAGTAGCAGCAGTAGCAGCAGGCTCCGGTGGCGGTAGCAGCAGCAGCAGCAGATGGGTTTGGTGGTGGCAGCAACATATGGTCCGGCAGCAATAGCAGATGGTCAGGCAGCAACAGCAGATGACTCCGGTGGCAGCAGTAGCAGCAACAACAGGGAAACTGAAGGTGAGATGGACGTGAGAGATGTGTGAAGCTGCAGTTAAAGAGATTGAGTGATGGGAATTAAAATAAATTAGGGTAAGGGTTAAATGTAGGGGAATGGGTTGGGTTGGGTTGGATAGTATTGGGTTAAATTTAATTGTAATTGGATTAAATTTGGGTTTGGGTTTGGGTTTGAATTTGGGTTTAGGTTTGAGTTTAAAGAATAAATTAATTTTAAAATAAAAACTTTTTTTTTTCGGGGGGATGGGGATCCCCGCGGGGCCCCACGGGGCGGGGAAAATTCGTCGCGAAATTTCGTGGGGAGAAAATGATCCCCGTCCCCGTCCCGCGGGGAGGAATATTCCTCCCCACCCCATCCCCGTGGGGCCCCGCGGGAAACAGGGAGAATTGCCATCCCTAGCTCTGTTCTACTCTGTTTGGAACAGTTTGCAGTTATAGTAGCCATGTTTCTACCGGGCTTAATTCAATTTTTAGTCTATTAACTATCACCTTGATTTCATTTTAGTCTAGAAACTATGTTTTATTTCTAAGTGGT